TGTAACTCTTGGTTCCAAACGTTGGATGTGTGGCTATAAGTCAAGTCATCCTCCTCTCTTCGTGATTGTCAGCAAACAAAAAAATCCATCACAACTTATATATTTTCTGTTTTTAATTTGTGTTTGAAAGTAAAAATATATTTTTGGTTCGTTAGCTTCTATTCTCGAATGTTGCGGAGTAATCGATTATATAATTTTATTTAGAGATTATGACGGCTTCAAAACCGTCTCATTACAGACAATCAATTAATTAAAAAAGAGTGTTGCGACTCAACACAAACTGTTTATCATTCATCATAGTTTTGGTATCGATCAAAATTATATTGTATTTTTTATTATTATTATCAAAGACAATTATTCAAAAAAAATTTTCAATTATTCAAATTTTCATTATCATAAAAGCTAGTATGCCATATATTTTCTTATAGTGATGGTCTCATTATCGTCCCACCCACTTGCCTTATATTTTACACTCAAGCTTCATAAGTACGCATGGATAATAGAAAAATATTGGTCAAGTCTATGATATAGATGTTAATTATATAAAGTACATAAACAAGTAGGGATATTAAAAATATGAAGTGATTAATGATTAGTGATTAGTTAACACAGTTGTTAACGATGAATAATAAACATCATAGAGATTGTGGAAAGAAAGGGGCCGCCATTGAGTCTCGATTGGTAACAAGCGAATTGGATTTATAAAAAGTTTCCGAGAGACATGTTGGAGTAAATTAGAAATTTAGTGATTACATTTTTTGTTGTCATTTTGTGAACCTATCTATAAATATACAACTTCAATCGATATATAATGTTTATTTACTATTATTATATTTAACAACTTGGCCCATGTTGTTGCACTTTATGTTAGGTAACAGATCAATTTCAAGTTTCCAACTCACCAATCATTATACAAATAAAGAGGAATTAATAAATAAATGGCCCATATGCTAAAAACATGATCTTCGACAAAAGATCCTCTTTTCCCTTGCGTAGTGTTTGTGACGTGTAAATGTAACTAGATATATATAATAAAATATATAAAAACCATAATTTATAACTAATAAAATTTATATTGTATTTATATTCATCATTTAATAGCTAAATATATAAAATTTTATGATTTATATATAAAAAAATTATAATATTTTATTATAATAATACCATAATATTTTAGGCGGCAAAAGCGGTAATCGCCACAGTCTATAGGGGCTTAGCGCCTAATAAATAATAAAAATTGAGCATGATAT